CAAGCCGTGCTGGTGACTGTTACAATGACACTGTTGTGAACCACTTTAGACAAATCATAAAGGAACGAGAGGTACAGGCCCTATGGACAGATATGTTGTGCGAAAGAAGTCCAGTGACTCTGAAGCTGGTCCTAGTGGCATTAAAAGAAGAAGGGAAGTAACCCCAGAAAAGGACTTGCTACCTCAAGTCCTAATGGAAGGGGATTCCCCTTCTAAACACTAACACTCTCTCTCCCCTCCTCCCATCCCATCAATCATCACCAGATCTTCAATAAAAGTAAGTGTCATGTAATTGTGCATGCCTTTTTCAGTTTGTGTGTACTAAAATTAACATTTTTTTGTGGTAAAAAAAATTTTTTTTCATACTTTTGGGTGTCTTGCACGGATTAATTTTATTTCCATTACTTCTTATGGGGAAAATTCATTCGCATAGCGAACATTTCGCATAACAGCCAGCCCTCTTGCACGGATTAAGTTCGCTATGCGGGGGTCCACTGTATTTGCCCAACTCAATTTTCAATGCTACCCAAGCAATAAGCTTGGTTGGTAGACAGCAACCGCCCTGGGAGGTATTACCGTCCTGCCAAGTGAGTGTAAAAGGAAAGCCTGTAATTGTCTTACATGATGGTAGGACTGCTGGTGTCCTTTTTTCTGTCTCAAAACATGCAAGATTTTAGGTACGTCTTGCTACTTCTACTTACACTTAGGTCACACTACACGTACATGTACAACCATATATATACACACCCCTCTGAGTTTTCTGTTATTTTCTTTCTAGTTCTTGTTCTTGTTGTTTATTTCCTATCTCCATGGGGAAGTGGAACAGAATTCTTCCTCCGTAAGCCATGCATGTTGTAAGAGGCGACTAAAATGTCGGGAGCAAGGTGCTAGTAACCCCTTCTCCTGTATAAATTACTAAATTTGAAAAGATAAACTTTTGTTTTTCTTTTTGGGCCACCTGCCTCAGTGGGATACGGCCAGTTTGTTGAAAGAAGAATAATTCTACTTACTCATGTGCAGGTCCCACTCACGTCCAACCCCTCTCACTCATGTATTTATCCAACACAAATTTGAAACTGCCGAAGGTGTTAGCCCCAGTAACCATACTAAGCACATTGTTCCATTCATCAGCATAAGAACATAAGAAAGGAGGAACACTGCAGCAGGTCTGTTGACCCATACTTGGCAGGTCCTTCACAAATCCAGCCCACTAACAGAATAAATGCTACCCAAGCAATAAGCTTTAATAATCCTGTGATAAATGGTTTAATAATCCTATTTAATCACATGCAAGTCCCACTCATGTATTTATCCAACCTAAATTTGAAACTATCTAAGGTTTTAGCTTTGATATAACCTTGGGTTGCTTTAAAAAGAGATTGGACAAATACATGAGTGGGAGGGGATGGGTATGATTGGTGTCGTGGGTACATAATAACATTAGAAAAGAGGAACATTGCAGTAGGTCTGTTGGCCCATACTAGGCTGGTCGTTCACAGATCCAACCCACTAACAGAATAAACGTACCCAAACAGTAGGCATTGACAATTCTATTTACTCATCTTGACTGTGTGCTAATCGAGGTACAGGAAGTTGACATAGAAGAATTGCTGAACACTGACAATGATGCACCTGTTGTGCATTCCTTAAGTGATGGTGAAATTAGATGAAATGTGATATATAAATAAGCTGTAGAGTTGATATTAGCATCATATTGAAGTATTTTGTAATGCCTCCTAAGAGCAGGAATTCCACTGGAATGGAGTAATGCCATTTCAGTTAATTTAAATGAGGAAAATTGACTCAGCATACGAACAAATCGGGATACGGACGAGGTCATGGAACGGATTAAATTCATAAGCCAAGGTTACACTGTACTCTGATTATATTCATGTGATAAAATACACCTGAATTAACTTTCACACTGTAAGTTTATTTAGGTGTACTTTAACCCTTTGACTGTTTCAGGCCCCTCTCTGAAACTGTCATTCTATGTCGCTCAATTTTTGAAAAAAAAAATTATTTTTTCTTATGAAATGATAGAGAATCTTTTCCCGATGGTAATGACACCAAAAGTTTGAAATTTGGTCGAAAACTCATGGAATTATACTCCCGTGAATTTAGCGGTCTCGGCGACATATGCGTATCGGCGATTTCGCCGACTTTGAGCCCTATTTTCAGCCAATTCCATTGTTCCAGTTGACCAAACTCATAGCTATTTCTTTAGAACTCCATTTTATCTATCAGCTGAGTACAAGAAACCTCCCATTTACTAATTTGGACTACCCAATATGGTGGTCAGAAATTGGCAATTTGGCCAATTTCACGCAAACTAAAAAAGATGCCAATTTCAAAATAGGATCCAGAATAAACAAGGTAGACATTTGTGGCACTAAAATAACATATGCTCTGTTCATTAGTCACATCTCTAGGCCCCTCTTATATTATTATTGCTTTCTATTTTGATTTTTTATTCATACAAAAAAATACAAAATTTACTGTTATGCAGGCTACTGCATTATTGTAAAAATGGTATAAATAATATCAGTGCACTAGTGAAAGAATATTAGACTCCCCAGTTGATGTGTATTGGACGTGTGGTGTGATTTATTTACTCTTGAACATTGGTAAAAATCGAACATTTCCGCTACTTTGAGCTCAGTTTCAAGGTCGTTTTCATCGTCAAAGTAATGAAAATCATCTCTATTTCTGTAATATGTTTTCCATTTTATCACCTAAGACCATGAAAACGCGAATACAACGATAAATACTATACGAAAATACACCTCAAAGTTGGCGTTTTATTCCAAAAAAACGATCAGTTTTTTTTTCTCATTATGCAATGTGTGCTGCAGGATTTTTTTTATGTGGTGCACACTGACCACACAGACCCATTCTCTCACATGTGGGCCTACCAGCTTTCTCCCACTTGATTTGAAGCCGCTAGAATTATTGAGTATATATACGTCAGAAACACTGGCTCGTAAGACGTATTTATACGTTGAAAACAGTCAAAGGGTTAATAAACTTATTGTGCTGGTGTGCAGGTACACATTAAAATCACTAAGAGTGTCTCACTAGTCTTGATGCCATAAAAAAACCATACCATGGGCGGGGATAGAACCCGCGATCAGAGAGTCTCAACACTCCAGACCATCGCGTTAGCCACTGGACCAGCTAGCCACAATAAGATTTGTCCAACTAGGTATATTTCTACACCATAGGAAGGTTAGCATAGACCAGCTAGCTGGTCCAGTGGCTAACGCAACGGTCTGGAGTTTTGAGACTCTGATCGCAGGTTCTATCCACGCCCGTGGTATGGTTTGTTTACAATCATGTCATTACGACTTCGTGAGTCATGTTAACGGCTTTGAGGGGACCTGAGCTAGAGTTCGTCACGGCCACGCTAGCTGGAGATTCGTCTGTAAAAGCTTGCATTTGTGGTCACAGTGGTGCCTATGCTAACCTTCCTATGGTATAGAAATATACCTAGTTGGACGAATCTTATTGTGGCTAGCTTGTCCAGTGGCTAACGCGACGGTCTGGAGTTTTGAGACACTCTGATCGCGGGTTCTATCCCCACCCGTGGTATGGTTTGTTTGCAATCGTGTCATTACAATTTTGTGAGTCTTGATGCCATATTAATAATAATAATAATACAGTGGACCCCTGCTTAATGATCACCTCCCAATGCAACCAATTATGTAAGTGTATTTATGTAAGTGCGTTTGTACGTGTATGTTTGGGGGTCTGAAATGGACTAACCTACTTCACAATATTCCTTATGGGAACAAATTCGGTCAGTACTGGCACCTGAACATACTTCTGGAATGAAAAAATATCATTAACCGGGGGTCCACTGTAATAGTAATCACTAATAATAATCACCCTGCCTTGGTGGGAAACAGCCGACGTGTTAAAAGAAAATAATAATCACTATAGGGCACTTAACCCTTTCACTGCTCACAAACTTGTTCTCAGTCTCGAAGAATTTTCAAAGAAAACAATTTTTTTTTCTTTGAAAATGATAGAGAATCTTTTCCCAGTTGTAATGACACCAAAAGCCTAAAATTGATGGAAACCTATGTTTATCTCTGTCTCTGCTTATCTGTCTTTCTGCCTGCCTGTCACTCTACTTGTTTCTCTGTCTCAGAGAGAGAGAGAGAGAGAGAGAGCCACTCATGAACCAACAGGCATTACACACAATGCAGAGTCAGTCACATTTGATTCCTGAACAAGTGAAAAATATGTATTACTTGCTAGGCATGCTTATTATGCATAATATAGGGCTGTCTGGATTTTTTGGGTTATCCTAGGTAATTTGTACTATGTGTCACCATATATATGTGTACCTGTGAGACAGAGATAGAGACACCGATAGACAGAGACAGAGATAGATACAGACAGACAGAAGGAGATAGAGACAGCCAAAGCAAATCAGTCAGCCAGCCGGCCACCCAACCAGCTGGCCTGCCGAACATGTATTACACATGTTCCAGAATTGTTTCTCTTTACTTAGGGCATACGTTATAGAACATTCTGGCAGGATGACACTACCAGTGGTATCAAAATTGAAAGGATGTTGCACATTGGTTATTATCGAGGTTTTTGATATTTCCTCTCTCCTGCGGGTGGTGGCATATCTAAAGCTCGCTTGTAACTCAGATTTTGGCTCACAACTCATAGCAAAGAATCAACCGAGTGACAGCTCGTAACTTGGAAAACTCGTAAGTCAGAGTACCACTGTATATGATAGTATAAACATATCATGAAGAATTTAAATGCACTTATAAATGAAAAAAAGTGTGATTTGCTTTATGGTGGTAGCCTGGAACCTAACCCACTGGAAAAGTGGGGCCCTACTGTATGTACATGCATGTATATGTACATACATACACAAGTATAAGGACTCGTTAGGGTAATTCAGAAAGGGTAAAAAGCCACCATCATTCATTCATCACTTCTACCCTAGCACTAACCATCTCCTTTCTTCCCAACAGACAAGCGCGGCGCTCTGCACTTCTTGGCATTTATCACGGGCTGACCTGTCATACATGAATGAACAATACAACAGTGCCCTCGCTGGCTACTTGACTGCTGTGTTCGTTGCAACAGATTTCCTCAGGAATGACAATGGAGGAGATCAGTGTGTGCTTACTGATGGGATCATCAGACGAATGATTCGATGTTGTATGAATCTTAACTGTTATACTCAAGTAAGTACAGTACCTTGATGGTACAACAAATTCTGCATTTGTATTTTCCTGCAACCTTACCCTAATTTGTTATACTGTAGTCTTTGTGAGTGCCGTTTTCCACATCATGACAAAATAACAAAAAAAGGCACAATACCGTGACTGGAACGATACACAAATAACCTGCACATAAAAGAGAGAAGCTTACGACGACGTTTCGGTCCGACTTGGACCATTTACAAAGTCACACTAACCAGAAGTGGAGCAGGACGGCTATATATAGGCAGGAAGAGGTGGAGGTGGTAGTAGTAGTAGTAAGTACAAGAATGGTATATAATACCGACCAGATGAAATTAAGACACATGTGCAACACCCGGGCATCCCTATCGTAGACGTTTCGCCATCCAGCCAGCCACTGGATGGCGAAATGTCCACAACAAAGACACCCAGATGCCAGTAGTAGTAGTAGAAGAGGTAGTAGTAGTGGTAGTGGTAGAAGTGGGGAATAGGGAGGACGAGCCAGTCAAAAAGAAAGGAAGGGGAGCACTGCAAGAGAGCTAGGTGCCCACAGAGGGAGAGCAAGCGCACAGAGGTGCGTGAAAGGGGAAGTGGTGAAGAAGGAACAGAAACACGAGGCAGAAGAGAGAAAGACAACCCAGAGGAGAAAAAGGAAAGAGGAAAGGGGAAGAGGGAGAAGAAGGAAAAGAAAAAGAAAAAACAAGGAGTCAGGTTAAGTCACGGGTGTTCTGAAGTTTGGAGCATTTTAAAATGTAGTGGGAGAGGAAGGCATCTACAGAGATGAAGCCAGGGCTCAGATTCATACAAGGAAAGTTGTGTATTAGAAAGGATTCAACTAGACGGCGACTGTTCAAGTTGGAAGTAGGGAAGACAGTTTTAGCAGAAGACCAGTCAATAGGATGGCTATGATCTCTGACGTGACAGAAAAGAGCATTGTTAGTGTCGGCAAGCCTAACACTATTTTTTGTGCTCCCTAAGTCTGTCAGAAAGAGATCGACCAGTTTCTCCGAAGTATTGAAAAGGACAGGAGGAGCAAGAAATAGAGTAGACGCCAGGAACATCTGTAGAGGGAGGAGAGGTATGAATGAGATTAGTGCGAAGAGTGTTAGTCTGGCGGAAGGTAAGCTTGATGTCTAAGGGACAGAGAGAATTGTTGAGATTAGAAAGACCGGAAATGTAGGGAAGGCAGAGGATAGAAGAGTTCCCAGGAGTAGAGAGTTTGGGAGAGAAGAAATTACGTTTAGCGCGTGAGAGGGCAGAGTCTATGAAATGGGAAGGGTAGCCAAGACTGGAAAACAAATTATGAAGAGTGGAAATTTCTGCTGGAAGGAACTGAGGATCACAGATGCGGAGGGCACTTGAACAGTCGCCGACTAGTTGAATCCTCTCTAATACACAACTTTCCTTGTATGAATCTGAGCCCTGGCTTCGTCTCTGTAGATGCCTTCCTCTCCCACTTCATTGTAAAATGCTCCAAACTTCAGAACACCCGTGACTTAACCTGACTCCTCGTTTTTTCTTTTTCTTTTTCTTCTTCTCCCTCTTCCCCTTTCCTCTTTCCTTTTTCTCCTCTGGGTTGTCTTTCTCTCTTCTGTCTCGTGTTTCTGTTCCTTCTTCACTTATTTCACCACTTCCCCTTTCACGCACCTCTGTGCGCTTGCTCTCCCTCTGTGGGCACCTAGCTCTCTTGCAGTGCTCCCCTTCCTTTGTATTTGACTGGCTCATCCTCCCTATTCCCCACTTCTACCACTACCACTACTACTACCTCTTCTACTACTACTACTACTACTACTACTACTGATGAAATTAAGACACATGTGCGGCGTCTGGGTGTCTTTGTTGTGGACGTTTCGCCATCCAGTGGCTAGCTGGATGGCGAAACGTCTACGATAGGGATGCCCGGGTGTTGCGCATGTCGGTATTATATACCATTCTTGTGCTACTACTACCTCCACCTCTTCCTGCCTATATATAGCCGTCCTGCTCCACTTCTGGTTAGTGTGACTTTGTAAATGGTCCAAGTCGGACCGAAACGTCGTCGTAAGCTTCTCTCTTTTATGTGCGGGTTATTTGTGTGCACATCATGAGAATTATCAGACCACAATAGCTATCCAGCTTGTTTTAAAATATTTTTCACTTTATTAGAGACCAATTTGTCTTTATTTGTAATTGCAAGAATATTGAAATTTATTGATAGGCAGAGAAATAAATAGATAAAGGAATTTAATGTGATAGTTTTATACAGTGGAAATTGACTATGATTCAAGGAAAGAAAAAGATTCTGGAATGATGATCAGCAACAAATAATCTTTAGAGGATCACATAAATATAAGTCACTCCAATTTACAAAACTTTTAGTAATATAAATTTGTTAACTGACAGTAATGCATGAATGTGTTGGAGAAGAAGGTCACATGACAGTATACAGTGGCACCTCGAGTTACAAACTTAATTCGTTCCAGAAGGCTGTTCGAGTGCCGATGCCAAACGAATTTGTTCCTATAAGGAATATGTAATGTAAATTAGATTAGTCTGTTTCAGACCCCCAAAAACACACTTACGAAAGCACTTACAAAAATACACATACATAAGTGTTTGAGTTGGGAGCTGTTCGAAACTCGAGGTACCACTGTATATCCCTGATGAGTTTCAGGAGTCTTTGTACTCCTGGAGCCCAGTCATGGGCCAGGCTCCAGGTTAGTGAGTGCCCACATTAACAACAATAATCTTTGAAAGAGGCAGCAGTGTGACTGTGTCTTGTGCTCACAGCAATCACTGTTTTATCTCAGCATCAAGTGATATGTTTCTCTATTCTGTGTGCAGGCTGCTATCTTGTGCCAGTTCTTAGAGAACATTGACTATAGTACAGCGCTGCGGTGCCTACAGGAAAGGAACTCAGTGGATGCCATGGATGCTTACTACTGCTGCCTGTGGGATGTCTCTCTCATTGAGTTCATCATCAACATGCACCAGAAGCGTGGAGAGATACAACGCAGGGATAAAGCTGTGAGATACACCTCAGTTTACACTTCTTTAAGCTTTAGTGTTTTACTCTTTTTAAGTTCCTGCATTCTCATTCATTTGATGTTCCTTACCTTTCTTTGTCTTCATCTACTTCATGTTCCTTACTTCCCAGTATCTTTGTGATATTCCCTACTTTCCTTTATCATCAACCATGATGGTTCTTACCTTCATGTATCATCAGCCATGATGGTTCTTACCTTCATGTATCATCAGCCATGATGGTTCTTACCTTCATGTATTATTAACCGTGATGGTTCTTACCTTCATGTATCATCAACCATGATGGTTCTTACCTTCATGTATCATCAACCATGATGATTCTTACCTTCCTTACACTGCTTCAAAACAAGTGTCCTAGCCTTCCCTTGCAACCAGATAGTAACCCCTAAGCCCCTTCCAGTCTGGAAATTCCAGTGCTGCCCCTGGTGTTAACCATTGTATAGTGGTAATACTTGTTGGTTTGTGTCACTATCATTTTCATTAATGGTTCATTGCAATTCATGGTTCATTGAAATTCAGTTCAAAGAAATCTAGTTCATCCAAGTCCTCGTTCATGGTACACTTCGGCAAGATTCCACTCTGTGTTCTCGAATTGATGAGGATTTGACAAAGTTTTCATTTTCCTGCCAATCCCAGACATGGTTAGGTGGTGGATGGTGGAGTTGTGTAATTGGCCTTGGAGGCAGTTGCAGTGGTTGTGTGTGCGGGATGGACATGGCCAGTAGTGGTGGTTGGGGTGTGAGGTATTGCTTCCTCCCAGGGTTGGCACTGGTGCCGTGAGTGAGTTTGTCCCTACATCCCGTGCCATGTCCCTGACTGGCATTACCCAAGGTGCATTATCCATGCCAACTGAAGCACCCATAATCACTTGCTGCTAGTGGCATGATCTACCATGACCCTTGGGGATAGCCCTAGACACTATACCAGACAAACGATGGTACAGGTTGGGTTATAATCGATGGCAAGTGAGTTGTAAAATTCTTGGCCAGTGCATAAGCCACTGGCCTAAAGTACACTGCAGTGAAGTAGCCAGGCTCTAAAGTTAGGGGGAGCGAGAACACACGAAAAAAAAATACGCCATGTCACGTACTGAATAATTTTAAATTCTTAAATTCATTATACATTTTTTTTAAATATAAACACAAGGAAGATACAGTTTTAAACGAAGTACATAATTATACACAAGTAACCCGCACATAGAAAAGAGGACCTTACGATGACGTTTCAGTCCGACTTGGACCATTTACAAAGTCACACTAACCAGAAGTGGAGCAGGACGGTTATATATAGGGAGGAAGAGGTAGTGGTAGTAGTAGTAGTAGTAGTAGTAGTAGTGGTGGTAGTAGTAGTAGTAGTAGTAGTAGTAGTAGTAGTAGTAGTAGTAGTAGTAGTGGTAGTAGTGGGGAATTAAAGAGGAGGAGCCAGTCAAATATAAAGAAAGGGGAGCACTGCAAGGGAGCTAGGTGCCCACAGAGGGAGAGCAAGTGCACAGAGGTTGGGGAAGGGGAAGTGATGAAATGAATAATGAAGGAACAGAAACATGTGACAGAAGAAAGAAAGACAAGAAAAGGAAAGAAGAAAGGGGAAGAGGAAGAAGAAGAAAAAATGAGGAATCAGGTTAAGTCACGGGTATTCTGAAGTTTGGAGCATTTTACAATGTAGTGGGAGAGGAAGGCATCTACAGAGACGAAGCCAGGACTAAGATTCATACAAGGAAAGTTGTGTATTAGAGAGAATTCAACTAGACGGCGACTGTTAGAGTTGGAAGTAGGGAAGACAGTTTTAGCGGAAAACCAATCAATAGGATGGCTGTGATCTCTGACGTGACAGAACAGAGCATTGTTAGTGTCGGCAAGCCTAACACTATTTTTGTGCTCCCTAAGTCTGTCAGAAAGAGATCGGCCAGTTTCTCCAAAGTATTGAAGGGGACAGGAGGAGCAAGAAATAGAGTAGACACCAGGAACATCTGTAGAGGAAGGAGAGGTATGAACGAGATTAGTGCGAAGAGTGTTAGTCTGGCGGAAAGCAAGCTTGATATCTAAGGGACGGAGAGAATTGTTGAGATTAGAAAGACCGGAAATGTAGTAAAGGCAGAGGACAGAAGAGTTCCCAGGAGTAGAGAGTTTGGGAGAGAAGAAATTACATTTAGCACGTGAGAAGGCAGTCTTTGAAATGGGAAGGGTATCCAAGACGGGAAAACGAATTGTGAAGAGTGGAAATTTCTGCTGGAAGGAACTGAGGATCACAGATGCGGAGGGCACGGAGAAAGAGGGAGATAAGAACTCTTTTCTTGACAGGGGAAGCATGATAGGAAAAGTAGTGAATGTACATGCCACTGTGCATAGGTTTCGGTAAACGGAAAAGGAAAAACCAGTATCTGAGTGGTGGACATGGACATCAAGGAAAGGAAGCAAGGAATTAGATTCCCATTCAGCTTTAAACTTAATGGAAGGGGCAAGATTATTAAGAGCTTCAAGAAAAGGTTGGAAGAGACTGGAGTCATGAGGCCACAGAGCAAAGATGTCATTAACATAGCGGAGCCAGAGTGAAGGTTGCACATCGATGGTAGGAAGAAGAACAGTCTCGAAGTATTCCATGTAAAGATTAGGAAGGACAGGAGAGAGAGGAGAGCCCATAGCGACACCGAAGGTTTGAGAATAATATTTCCCTTGGAATGAAAAGGAATTAGAGTCCACACAGAGGCAGATAAGATCAAGAAAGACTTCAGTAGGTATAGGGAGATGTAGAAACCCTTCAAGGGCCTTCTCTCTAAGGAAATCAAGGACATCATCAAGAGGGACATTGGTGAAGAGGGACTCAACGTCAAGACTAAGCATCTTACAGGTTGGGAGAGAGCGAACCCGTTCAATGAAGTCTTGAGAGTGACGGAGGTGGGCAGGAGAAAAAGTACCAAGAAAGGGAGTGAGGGTTTTGGCCAACCAAGAAGCAAGAGAATAAGAGACAGAACCTCTAGAGGATATGATAGGACGAAGAGGAATATCAGGTTTATGAGTTTTGGGAAGGCCATAGAAATAGGGAAGAAGGGACAGATGACACGAAACCGTTGAACAAGGTCAAAGTCAGGAGGACAGAGGTCGGAGAGAGTCCTTAGTTTCTTGTTGAAAGTTCTCTTGATGCGATCAAGAGGGTTGGAAACGAGAGGAGTATAGGTACGTGAGTCAGAGAGCAAGACATAAGCTTTACGGAGGTAATCCTTGCAATCAAGGATAACTACCGAATTACCTTTGTCAGAAGATAGTATGACAATGTTAGTGTTAGATTTAAGAGAAGAAAGGGCAAGTTGGTAATGGCACAGAAGGTGGTGATTCTTAGAAAACAGACTATCAAGAGCAGGAAGGAGAGCTCCACGAAAAGTGGACAAGTCAGGAAGATTACAGGAGCGAGATTGACGAAAGGAATCAAAAGAGCTAATCAGGGCAATACCAGCGCGAGGGGTAGGCGAAGAGGCCAAAACCAAGAAGTTCAAGCTCATACTGAGAGAGTGAGACAGAAGACAAGTTAGTAACACAGTCAGTGAGGGAGAATTTAGACTAAGGGCTATCTGAGATGAGACGTTGAAGTTTATTCTGTAGTTTTGAAGAATGAATTTGTGTATTCAAATGGTCCAAGTCGGACCGAAACGTCGTCGTAAGCTCCTCTCTTCTATGTGCGGGTTATTTATGTATCGTTCCAGTCACGGTATCGTGCCTTTTTTTGTTAAGTACATAATTGTTATTTTGTTTTAATATCAAAACACACTAAAAAAGTTTTACAATAAGCTCAGAAATCTCAAAACATAATAAAAAAGCATGTGTGTTATATAGTTATTTTGATTTTAAACATAAAATGTAAACAAAACAAAGCAATGTGAAAAAATGTATGAAGCAAGAACAACAGTCTCTCTTGTTTAAGCTTCATTCTAGGAAAGTTATCTATTACTTTATTATAATCCACCTCAGTAGTCAACTCTCTCTCAGTGGAGAGCAAAGCTAACCCAGACAATCTATCTTCATCCAGTGTATAACCTTTGTGGAAATATAAACACAAATGCAGTATAATGTGATCCTTTATTGACAACGTTTCACCCACACAGTGGGCTTTTTCAAGTCACACACGGATCTACCTGGGGTTGGAAGGTACGGGAGTATTTATAGTTCAGAATGTTGAGGTCAGGTGGAGAATGCTGCATCTGATGATCTACCGGGTGGGGTTATAGAGTCTTGGGTAGCTAGGCGGGGATATTGGACAAGTTGTGAGTAGACCTTCTGCAGTGTTCTTTGTTCTTATGTGGGATAGCGATGAAGAAGTTTCTTGGCGAGTGGTTCAGCTATGTTATAGAAGCCATTGCTTGGTTGAAATTGTTGGTTATAGAGATAAACGATGATTTCCAGGATTCTTCTGTATTGAGTGTTGTCTTCTGTGGCTATAAGTCTTGAGTTTCTGTAGTTAATTAAATGGTTGTGTGAATTGCGATGTTGTACACAGGCATTCCTTGTATCGTCAGTCCTGCTTGCATATTGGTGTTCTGAAATACGTGTTTGGGGTCTCTTGATGTTTCGCCCACATATAATTTGTTGCAGTCATTACAAGGGATTATGTATACCCCTGCAGAGGATGGAGGCTTGTCCTGTCTACTACTGGTGATGTCCTTGATGGTCGTGGTTGTGGAGGTAGATACTTGGAATGATGTTTTGGCAAAGATGTTGGAAACATGTTTGGCAATGGAGTTGGTGGGAAGGACTATGTATCTCTTCTCGGCAGTGTCTTCTCTGGGTGTGTTGAAGATGTTTAATGCTCGCCGTCTGCAGTCTCTGATGAAGTGACGAGGATAGTGGAGTTTGGAAAATACTTGTTCAATTATAGTGCATTCTTCCTCAAGGAACTCGTTGCTGCAGATTCTGAGTGCACGCAGGAAGAAGCCTATAATTACCCCACGTTTGGTTTTGGTGTCGTGGTGAGAGTAGAAGTGGAGAAGATCGTTTTGGTTGGTGGGTTTTCGATAGACTTTAAAACGAAGTTCGTGGTCAGCTTTCCCAGAGTAGAACATCAAGGAAAGGAAGAGTGTTGTCGACTTCTTCTTCAAGTGTGAACTGGATTGAAGGCTCGACCTGGTTGAGCTTGTCTTGGAGAGCTTGAAC